TTGGCATTTATTTGTCTCCTTTATCCTTAAGTTTGTTAGAGAAAAATCTTTAAACTCTTGCTGGTGCACAGCCCTGCAGCAGCTGTGAATTCTCTAAAATGCCATCAGAGGGAGCAAAACATTCACAAATCCTATTCCCACAAGGAATTCCTGACTTTGCTTCAGACCCAGAACTTCCTGAGAATTCACTGTTTGTTCAGAGGGACAAAACTTCTGGAGCTTTCAGTTTTCTAAATGCTGCTTTTTCTTGGCTCATGTGGGAAATTGCCTTGAATTTACAACTGATGATCACTTTAGGGTCATTTTTAACTCAGAATCTATTTTCTCTAATGGAACACAGCAAAACTGGGAGGATCTGTGGAATTCTGTTAATTCTGTTGTCCTTGCCACAGCTGCTTAGCTCATGAATACTTTCCAGGGAAAGCCAAGGCCAGGCTGGATGGGCTTGGAGCAGTCTGGGCTGTGGAGGTGTCCCTGCCCATGCAGGGGGGGAATGGGATGAGCTTGAAGGTCCCCCCAGCCCAAACCAGTCTGGGATTCTGCTCCTGCTGGTAACTCACCACTTGCTTCACGTGTTTGACTTGGGCAAGGTGGAACTTGGTGTTTTCGGTGGAATTCTGCCAGATCACGTAGCCTGAGGCCACCCAGGCCAGCAGGTGGATGGGCTCCAGCTCTGGGGGAACGTTCCCGTGGCTGTCTGGAACAAAAACAAGCAGTGGATGTTAAAGCATTGTCACCTCACACAGGGCTTGCTGCTCAAATCCCTGTCACTCAGCCTCCCACAGCGTTTGGAAGAGCTGCACAGAGCTTTCCTCCCACTTCACACAGTCCAAGTTTGGCTTGGGAGGGACCTTAAATCCCACCCAGTGTCACCCTGCCATGGCAGGGACACCTCCCCCTGTGCCAGGTGCTCCAGGCTCCATCCAGCCTGGCCTTGGGCACTGCCAGGTTCTCCTCCACATTTTCTCCTAACAGAAATTCCAGGTCTCAAAGGCAGGGGTTGCTCTGAGGTGAGAGCAGCCCCTCGTTGTCCATTTGGGGTGTTGGATGTGCTGTGCCAGGACCCCTCAGAAGGAGCAGGAACAGGTGCCAGTGCCAGCTGGTTTTCCAGAACACTCAGAATCAGGAAAAAATGCAGTGGCTGTGATTGCAGACCCCCCAAAAAGAGAAAGGTGAAGGCTTGAGCCCTCTCCTGGCTTGTACCTGGGATGTTCTCAGCCACAAGCTCCTTTTCCAGGCTCCTGATCCAATTGTAGAACTCCTTGTCTGCTTCCTCTGTGCTCCTGAGCTCTCCTTGCACAGTGACCTGCACATCTGGAGCAGAGTTTTTGCTGTCCAGGTGATACAGAACCTCAGCAGTGCAGTTCACAGTCCTGTCCTGTGGCAGAGTTAAAGATGTGCACTATTATCTGATTGAATATGTGCATTACCAGGGTCATTTGCACTTCTGAAAATGTCATTTTTATGTAGTTGCTGTTTTCTCTGAGTCTGGTCTGGAGAGGTTTGTGATTATTTAAGACAAGGTTAAATTCCTGGCATTTCTGTGGATGTTTAAGGGTGGGATTTGCTTTTTTGCAGTGATGGAAGGGGAAGTGGTTGGGGTGCAGAGTGTCCCTTGTGCTGTTCAGTTGGAGCTGGGTGACACTGAAATGTCCTTGTCCTCCCTGCAGCATTGCCTGGTGGTGTAGTGGAAGGTACCACATGGGCAGTGGGTTCTTTTTGGTTAAAATTCAGCCTTTTTGGGGCCTGATTGGCAGCACAGAAAAATCAGGAGCATGATTCACAGTATTAATTACTGTGTGCACAGAGTGTGTGATGAAACCAGTCTGACTCACTTTGTCCAGGACATCTTCCAGCTCCAGTTCCAGGTAGTACTTGTGCCCCACATCATCAATGTCCTAAAAAAGGGAAAATATTGTTAACATTTATTTTGGCAAATGTTGAATGGCTGTGTCCTGGACAAAATCAGAGAATTCCAGGATGGTTTGGATTGGAAGGGACCTTAAATCCCATCCAGTGCCATCCCTTGCTGTGGGCAGGGACACCTTCCACTATCCCAGGTTGCTCCAAGTCCCATCCAGCCTGGCATTTGACATTTCCAGGGATGGGCACTCTGTTCCAGGTCCTCTCCACCCTCATTTCTATCCTTTAATACCTGTGAAATTCCAATTTTGGGCTCCTCTGTGATGCTTTCCAAGATTTTACTGCTTGGTTAAATACTCCCCTAAGAGCCTTCGGTGCTTCCTTCTATTAATTCCATTTTGCAGGTTATTATGAATTGGACAGTGCTCTGTATTTTTCTGGCTATAAAGAAGGAAGCAGGAGGGGCTTTGCTGTGCCCTTGTTTTTGGAGGGGCTTTGCTGTGCCCTTGTTTTTGGAGGGGCTTTGCTGTGCCCTTGTTTTTGGAGGGGCTTTGCTGTGCCCTTGTTTTGGGAAGAGGTTTGCTGTGCCCTTGTTTGGGAAGAGGTTTGCTGTGCCCTTGTTTTGGGAAGAGGTTTGCTGTGCCCTTGTTTGGGAGGGGTTTGCTGTGCCCTTGTTTGGGAAGGGCTTTGCTGTGCCCTTGTTTGGGAAGAGGTTTGCTGTGCCTTTGTTTTGGGAAGGGGTTTGCTGTGCCCTTGTTTGGGGGGGGTTTGCTGTGCCCTTGTTTGGGAGGGGCTTTGCTGTGCCCTTGTTTTGGGAAGAGGTTTGCTGTGCCTTTGTTTTGGGAAGGGCTTTGCTGTGCCCTTGTTTTGGAGGGGCTTTGCTGTGTCCTTGTTTTGGAGGGGCTTTGCTGTGCCCTTGTTTTGGGAAGGGCTTTGCTGTGCCCTTGTTTTTGGAGGAGGTTTGCTGTGCCCTTGTTTTGGGAAGGGCTTTGCTGTGCCCCCGCAGTGCCAGGTGTCCCTGCAGACCCAGGGCAGGGCTGAGCTGTGTCCTGGCACCCACAGCACCCAGCACCCTCCTGCTCCTCCCCGGGAGTTCCTCCGGGCCGGTGCCGGTGCCGTGCCCTGGGCAGGGCTCCCTGGGCGCCGCTGTCCCCGCAGTGACACACGGGCCGAGTCCCACGGCGCTGAGCCGCCCGCGGTGGCACCGAGCTCCTGCCGGGGCACCGGCGGTGCCACAGCCCCAGAGCCGCGGCTGGGAAGGAACTTTGCGCCTCGCCCAGCCCAGGCGGGGCACGGCAGCCGTGACACCGGAGCTCCGTGACACCGGAGCTTCGGGTGGCCCCGAGCGGGACCCTCCCTGCGGCCGTGCCCTGCCCGCTCCGCGGGAGAAGCCCTTGCTGGGGCCGGTTCCCCGGGGCCGGTTCCCCGGTGCCATTTCCCGGGGCCCAGCTCGCGGGGCTCGTTCCCCGGTGCCGTTCCCCGGTGCCGTTCCATGGTGCCGGTTCCCCGTGCCCAGTTCCCGGTGCCGTTCCCCGGTGCCGTTCCCCGGTGCCGGTTCCCGGTGCCGTTCCCCGGTGCCCAGTTCCCGGTGCCCAGTTCCCGGTGCCCAGTTCCCGGTGCCGTTCCCCGGTGCCGTTTCCCGGTGCCCAGTTCCCGGTGCCGTTTCCCGGTGCCAGTTCCCGGTGCCGTTCCCCGGTCCGTCCCGGTCCGTCCCGGTCCGTCCCCCCGCTCACCTGGCGCCGGGCGCGGCGCAGCTCCCGCAGGCGCAGCCCCCGGCCGGGGCCGCCCCGCAGGTACCGCAGGTAGCCCAGGGCCGGCGCCGCGGCGCGGGCGGCCGGGAAGCGGCCCGGAGGCAGCTCCATGGCCCGGGAGCCGCTTCCTCCTCCCGCAGGAAGCCCGGGCGGGGCCGGGGCGGGTGCTGCGGGCACCCCCGCACCGCGCGGGGAGCGTGTCACACAGCCTCCGATGGGAAATCGGGAATTAATCCTTCCCCCGCAGGGCGGGGAGGCCGTGGCGCAGGTTTTCCAGGGGATTTGTGGCTGCCTTATCCCAGGTTGGACAGGGCTTGGAGTAACCTCGGATAGCAGAGAGCGTTCCTGCACATGGCATTTTGAATTTAAATTCCCTTCCGGCCCAAAGCAGTCTGTGGTTGTCTGAAATGCAGAATGGGCGTGTTTTCCATAGAAAGCCGTGGTTTGTGTCACAAATGACCTGGTGTTTGGGGCGTTGTTGGGGTTTAGGTTTGAGTTCACCCACAAGAAGCAGTCGGGAGGAGCAGGCCAGTATGGCAAAGTGATCGGCGTGCTGGAGCCGCTGGAGCCAGAGGACTTCACCAAACTGGAATTCGAGGACAGAACCATTGGCACAAATATTCCCAAGCAGTTTGTGCCCGCTGTGGAAAAGGTACAAACCTTTCTCTGTGATACAGAAAATCCTGTTGCCTCACCCCAGGAATGGAGGCTTTTCCCATTGCTCCAGTGGCAATAGGATCACAGCTGTGTGGTTTTACTTCATGTCTTGCATTCCTGGGGTTTCCAGTTAATTCAGGAGCTGCTGTTGTCTTTGGTGGTGTGTGCTGCCTCTTGTGAGAGCCTCCTGCTCAGGCTGCTTTTTCCTGGCCTCTTCTGCTTCTGGTTGTGGGCTTGCAATTCTCCTCCCAACCACAAAATGTGTAACTTCTTCTGTGACTTCTCTAAGGCCAGTTCTAGAGGAAACTGTAATTAAGCTGCATTTCCTGCTTCAGTTCCCAAATTCTCTTTCTTTATCTCTTCTGTGACTGCCTCACTGTATAATTTATCACACACAGCTTTAATTAACCTACCAACATCTTGGAATTCCTGTAATAACCTACAATTACTCCTTCATTTTTCCATGTTGCAACACTTAAAGATTTTTGCCAAATCCTGAACAAACCATAGTCTTAAAGGCATCTTGTTCTCCGGGCAAGAGCTTTTTCCACACTGGGCATTTTTTTGGGGTTTGGCCATGGAATCTGTTTAAAAGGCCATTTTTCCTTGTTGTGTGATTTTTGTGTGTAAAATCAAAGGGAGGTGCAGTGCCTGGCAGTGCAGAGCTGCAGGTTCCTGCTGGTGACCGGGAGCTGTCGTTCCCAGGGGTTCCGGGACGCCTGCGAGAAGGGTCTGCTGTCGGGGCACCGCATCTCCGGCGTGCGCTTCGTGCTGGAGGACGGGGCCCACCACATGGTGGACTCCAACGAGATCTCCTTCATCAGGGCAGGAGAGGGAGCCCTGAAACAAGGTACAGGCTCCTCCTTGGATGGGTTCTGCTGGCTGGTACCCATCCATCCAAATCCCTCCCTCC